GATAGATAGATAGATAGATAGATAGATAGATAGATAGATAGATAGATGATGGATGGACAGATAGATAATAGATAGACAGATGATAGATGATTGATGGATGGATGGATGTGGATAGACAGATAGGCAGACAGACAGACAGATATATAGATAGACAGACAGATAGATAGATGATGGATGGACGGACAGATAGATAGATAATAGATAGACAGATGAGAGGTGAGAGATAGTTAAATAGATAGATAGATGATAGATAGAGATGATAGATGATAGAGATAGATGAGAGACAGATGAGAGATAGATGAAAGATAGATAAATAGAGATAGATGATAGATGGTAGATAGATAGGTGGTTGGTACATAGATAGATAGATAGATAGATAGATAGATAGATAGATAGATAGATAGATAGATAGATAGATAGATAGATGTAGATATAGATACAGATACAGATACAGATACTGATAAAGATACAGATACAAATACAGATACTGATAAAGATACAGATACAGATACAGATATAGATATAGATCCCTGCAACTGAATTTAGATTGCTTTGAGCCTAATAGCAAAGACCTTTCTTGCAAAGTAGAAAGGTTCAAAATGTACGAAAAATCGTATATGCCACTCTTGTCTCCTTTGGCAGACCTACACATAACTTGACCCCATTCAGGATCTGGTTTCACTGATCACCCTAATCCCTTTTGGTTTTAACCACGGTTTGCGCACCAAGCCCCCAATGCCTTGGGCTACTCCTAATTCTCAAAACCCTGCCTTCTCTCCATCTGATTCCAGTGGCATCAGGAACATCCGCATGGCAGATTCTTCTTTGTCAGAGCTGGAGAATGCCTGTCTGTTCAGCCTAACCGCTAGGTACCACCACCACCACCACCGGCAGTAGCAGCAGCAGCAGAAGGCAAGGATTGTGTACTGCTCTCTCCATCCCTCCCTCCTTCTGGATCCCTTTAAGAGCGTGCATATGATTGGCTGTAGCTATGCAGGTTTTTTCTCCCATTCTCTCTCTCTCTCTCTCCTTCTCCCCTCCCCTCCACTCCCCAGTTTTTCATCCTCTGTTACTGTGAATTGTTCAGCTTTGCCACAGCAGCAGCAGCAGAATGAATAATATGCTGGCAACAGCTGTTAGATTTTAAGTCGCACATCCCTAGATACCTGTGAACAGCAGCCCTGGGAAGGAAGAGAACAGAGGAAGGGAGAAAGGCAGGGGAGGGAGGGAGGAGAGAGACAAAAGGAAACCCGATCCCTAAACAAAAAAAGAGGATAATAGCTTTCCTCCCCCTTTCATCCCCTCATTGCCTTTCCAGCCCATCAATCAAATCAAGACTTGCAACCGGCGTTTGCAGTCCGTGAAGGTCCACCACTGAGTGAGTGGTTGTGGGGTTTTGTTTGGCGGTCATGTCCAAGCTAGGAACCAGGAGCGTGAGGGATGGAGAGACAGACCTGTCCTGCGATGGACAAGCCGAGAGCCCTCTTGGATCAAAAGAAGAAGAAAGCAAGCAGAAAGTGGCATCCAGGCAAATTGTGTGGAGGAATGTCATCTTAATGGCCTTGCTTCACAGTGGGGCTTTGTATTCCTTTCTTCTCATTCCCAAGGCCCATTTGTATACTCTGATCTGGGGTAAGTTTCATTTTTTTTTTAAAAAAAAAAAAAGCATTTTCCTCCATGAGGGAAGGTTGTCTTGTATTCACGAAATTCATATGATTTGGGGTTCTTTCAGAGGTATCTGTTCCTCAGGAAACTTCATTCATAATAGAGTGCCTGTTTAAGAAGGAAAACAAAAAAAAAAAGCATTACTGTAGAATTGTTGTTGTTGTTGTTGTTGTTGTTGTTGTTATTTTGGTCAGTAGGTAAAAACTTCCAGTTTTGTTCCAAGAATATCATTCCTTCTTTATAAACATTTGAAAAAATCAAACCCTTGTCATTTATCCATCCAGGTGAAATAAAACTAATCTGTTTTGGTGCTTTTCCTGACATATTAAAATCTCAGGTTTTTACTCATCACAATCTGAATCCTGATTAATCTTATAATTACTGGATTATTTAGACAAAAGAATAGCCCAGGGGTAACAAATCTGCAAGAATTGACCTTGTAAATGCCCCCTTTAAGGTATCCTGAATGGGCTACATACGTCCAACCTTAGGGTAAAAAAACTGATAAAATAAATACCGTACAGCTTCTCATAAATATTTTGCATTATAAAGGTGTAGTATATTTATGAGAAAGGGGGCAATATGAGTAAGAAAAAGTTTTAATTAAAAAAAAACCTGTTTCCATATTTAAAACTCATGAGGTGAGGTTGCTCTCACTGATTTGTAAGAATTCTATTTTTTAGAAGATGGCTGTCAAGATTAGAGTGTTTTTTGTTTTGCCATTAGCAGGTGGTTCTTATAGGGAAGCTTTTTTTTAAATTCACCAGCACTTGTCCAGTTTTTACTTCGTGATGCGTAAGAGTGTAACCATAGTGAAATCCTATACATGTCGCCTTAGTAGTCCCATTGAATTAAATGAATTTATTTCCAGGTGAATAATTATAGGGTAGCGGCTTTTACGACTGAGGAGAGAGAATTTCAGAAAGCTGGTGAATAAATTGCAACTCTCAATAGTTGTGCTTTATGCTTTTGAAGGAGCAAGCCATAGCAATATGAAAGATTTTTCTACGTATTTCCTGCAGCTGGGTTAAATGTTCTTCTGCTTTCTGAATATTTTTCTTATTGTGTTGCCAGCTCCTTTAATTTTAGACAATACAGGGAGATAACTCTGCTGCTGAGTACAATCTGCTGCCAAGACATTTGATTTAATTCAGTGCTAACCTTGCAAACGAAATTTCACACCAAGATGTGAAGAGTGATTTAAAAGGTGATGCCTGACTAAATTTAGTCCTGTGCAAACTGTATAAAGAAAATATGTTTGTGCATCACAATTGACTTTTTCCTTTGCTGCTGAATAATTATATATCTAGGTTTAGCCTGGTCTTATTTCCATCATGCTTTGCAGATTGATATAAACTCAACAAGGTTTCTACAAACAAAATTATAATGATGGGGCAGGGGATAAAGCATTAAATAATCAGGGATGAAGGACAAAACAAAGCAAATGGAAATATATACTGCATTACCAAAATGGCCCAGATTCCCAGAATAAGATAATCATGTAGAGAAAGGCAGATCAAGATTCAGAACTTCCTGGTTTGTGGAAACACTTGACTAGGTTTCTCTCCATACCATTGTCAAAGAGAAGTCTATTTGCCTTTGGGTGGATTGAAAATGTGTTCTTATAATCCCCGGGTATATAATCCCAATGTGAACCAACTGGTGCATTTTGTTCTTTGCTCTTTCTCACAACTGTTGGCCCGTGTAAAAGAAACACTTACAGGCTTCTCCTAAACATGAGAGGTATGGAGCTGTGCAACATTTCATTAGTGTCCACACTAGTTCTTTGTTCCTTCTGTGTGGAAATTTTTTTTTCTTTCTCCCTTTTCCACGGCTAGCACTGGAGAAGTAGAAAAGAGGAAAGGCTATCGTATTTTTGAATGTGTGAACTGGGTCTTAAGCATCACCTCAGATGGTTTGGAGTCTATTTCTCCCTCCTTTAGTGAAGAAAGAGTGCTCCAGCTTTTATTGTAACAGTAGGCTAAAAATGCGATCCAGACTACCATTGAAATCCAGAGGTTGCAACTCGTAAAGAGCACTAAACCATCAGAGAGCCAGAAAGTGACGGACTTGGTAACAAAACCAGGATAATAATTTTTCCCTTCTACCATCATGGTAGCAATGGGATTTCTTTCTTTCTATTATTAAAACAATTTATAATGAACTGTTATCGGTTGAAGAGGAGGAGGTGTTATGAGATGCCAGATTTAGCATATGGGAATGTTCTGTGAGATACATTGACGTTGTCTATAGTTTTGTAAACTGCCAGAAGGCATCAGATGGAAAAACTGCTTTATAAAGACCCAAAGAAATAATGAACTGGTCTGTTGGGCCTATATTTTCTGAAAAGCTTTATTGCGCTTTTCTTTTTAAAAAGATTTTTTATAGCAAGGATCATCCTTTTCCAGAAATTATCATCCTTTCTCAAAAACTATGAATGAATAATTTTTGGAAAACTATTTGCGAATGAATCTTGGTTACGAATGAATGTTGCGAATAAATCTTGGCTGCTCAAGAATACGAGTCTTAATTTTGTTAATTTTATTTAATGAATCCACTCCCCCCCACCCTTGCAATAATAATGGTTTTCCACTTGGGAAAACAACACATTTCTAATCTTCCATCCCATTCTCATAAGTAATTCTACATCCCTACATTTTTTATTTGGGAAAGATATATTTTTTCCTGGGAGATTAAATGCACTTGTCTTGGGAAATAATGATTAGCTAAAAAAAATCCAGAATTTGCTGGTGTAAAGGTGGAATAAAGGAAATAAATCATTTATTAATCAGGGATCAGTGCCATTTGGAAGCTGTAAATCTCTTCCTTTCCCACTTTGGATAAAGAATTTGTTCTTGTAACAGTTGAGAGTTATAATTTGTAAGCTGTGTGAAATGTTTATAGAGACTGAAAGGTGAACCACTTTGTTACTCTTCTCCCTGTTTTGATCTTGGCACAAGATCCACCACTCCTGAATACAGATGCCTTCTTGGAAAATTTCCCCAGACATTTAAAAAAAAATGCAATTTCAGAAAGCTGTCAGTGAGATTTGATGACTGAAAGGTGAGCACTTTGGAGGATATAACCATAGCCCTTAGACTTATATACTACCCCATAGTGCTTTACAGCACTTTCTGGGTACAACATCAGCATGTTGCCCTCAACAATCTAGGTCCTCATTTTACTGATCTTGGAAGGATGGAAGGCTGAGTCAACCTCAAGCCAGTCAGGAACAAACCCTTGGCAGTGGGCAGAGTTTGCCTGAAATTCAACATTCTAACCATTGGGCCATTGGGTGTCCTCCTGAAACCTTTGCTATATAAATTTGAGCCATATGAAATGGACATTGTTACAGGTGATGTGGCTGCTTACTATATTTGGAGATGTGGGAATGGAGCAGAGATGGAGAAAGAGACTTCTGCTTCAGTGCCTTTTTGATTAAGTCAAGGGTGCCCAACCTTGGTAACTGTAAAATTTGTGGACTTCAACTCCCAGATTTTTTTTGAATTCTGGGAGTTGAAGTCCACAGATCTTAAAATTGCCAATTGCAGAGCACTCGGGCCACCAAAGGTACCCCTGACACAAGTAACATCAAGCTGGCCATGCCCTCTGGCCACGCCCCCACCAGCCCCACCCTCCAAGGTCAAACACAACCCTGATGCAGCCCTCAATGGAATTGAGTTTGACACCCCTGGTTTAAATAGTTTGATTATGACTTCTGGTTTGTTCCTCGTCGGAGTCGGAGTGGAATCCGTGATTGTGCATGGTTTTGCCTGAGCTCACTTGCTGGAGGGTCCCGATTGGGACCAGAACCACCCTGGTGGGGTGGTGAAGAAGGGGGAAATCACCTGGAGGGCCGAGGGGAGTCGAAACTCCCCTCCCTGACAGGAAAATCCCTCCCAAAGGCAAGCTGCAGCGGTGGTCCTAAAATGCCCACCACGAAGACAAAGAACACTCCGGGAAACTAAGTTTTGTGCTGGAGCAGAGAAGTAGCGAGCAGAGTGTGAACCAGGCAAAGGACATCGCTTTTGAGGTACCCCAGTATTAAAACAAAGGGCTATTGGAGGGAAGTGTGTGGAAGCGGCGACCAGACAAAGTGAGAAAGAAATTGGATCTTATAAAACTTGGATTGGATTAATTTGGAGGAGAAAATTTAAAGGAAAATACTTTAACACAACAAAGGTTTAGAAATTAAACTGGATAACTATTGAATTATGGGCACTTAAAGGGCATAATTAAATGCTGAAATTGAGTGTGTTGAAAAGAAAAGAAATAATAGCTAATGATTGAAATTAGTGAACTTAATAAAAGTATTATATTCAATAAAGAAAGTTAAAGGTAAAAAGACTCAAGAGCACCACCTGATGGTACAGGAAAACTTCAGTACATTTTAAAAAGTGTTTGGTCTTCTCAAGAGTTTGGATTTTGGAACTTAAAAGAAAATAAAAGAAACTTTATTATTGTTATAGAACCATCCGAACAAAGACTCGAGAGTATGGATTGTTGAAAATAAATTCAAAAAATATTGGCTGAAATAATAAAATGGGCTCTGGGATTGAATATATCTATTAAAGAGGATTTTAACTATTAAGGAAGAGGAAAGAAAAGGAAAAAAAGGAGAAGATATAATGGAGAAACTATTTGTTGATATAAGATTGGACTTACAAGAGTCAAGATTGGATTTGCAAAATATAAGGGACATGATAAAAATTAAACTTGAAATGTGCAATTATGTATTACAGAAGTTAGAAATGGTGACTCAGCATATACAAGAACAAAATAAACCAGAGGGGGAGGAGTTCTATAAAGAAGAAGCCAACACTGAAGGACAATTATTTAAGCAGGGAGGAAAATGAATTAGAATTAAAAATTTGTGATCTAATGGGATGATAAAAGGGAGAATGGTTCGGAAAATGGATCAAGGGAGAGAGAAAAAGCAGAAAAAGGAAGGGCAAAAGAAAAATCAA